ATAAAAATAATCGAACCCAATCCGACTCGTACCCGTGGTGAGCCGGGTTGGCTCACGGGTTAGAACCCATATTGACACCCCTAGTTCCTCCAGACCCTACCCAGCTTACGCCGCAACATCAGGCCAGGCTGGAACACATTAAGGGTTACTCCTGGCACCCCATGCTGAGGCTAGAGTTTGATATTCTGGCTGAGTTCGATTGGGAGTACGATGTACGAGGCTACATTCAAAATATCGGGTGGGACTTCCTCCTCCAGTCTCCCCCGACCTGCATCTACACATAGGTCGTAATGGAGTTCCTCACCTCCATTACAATGATTGAGATGCCCACGATGTTCCTGGGTGTCCCTCCAGTGAAGATGGTCTCGTACTATATGAATGGGACCTACCGGACGACGACGTTGAACGAGTTTAACGTTGCCATAGGCTTCATTCGGCCCGAGGACACCCTGACGCCGAAATATCAGGGGATCATCTATGAGCGGTCGGCTGCCCTCACAACCAGTGAGATATGGAAGGATCTCACCGGGTCACAGATTCTGCCGGCCCTGATGAAAAGGTTGGCACTCAGCCCTACTCTCTGTATCTTTCACAAGCTGCTGGCAAGGACCATCCATGGGCAGAAGGAAAGTCAGGGGAAGATAACCCAACCTAACTTTTTCACACTGCACTGCATGCTTTACGGACGTTGGTGTAATCCCGGCTACTTCTTTCTGAAAGCTCTCAAGGACTTTGGGAGCCTCCCCGTCGGAACCATCCTCATGGGTCCTCTCATCACCCCGCTGACCAAAAAATGGGGGTGCCCCGACGGGGAGGACATTTCCTCTACTCTTCGACCTGAGTACATCAGCGGGTCCATGCTCGTCAGCATGAGGATGCTCATCAGGAACGGATCTCAGGTGGTCATTCACCCTATGTTCGCCAAGACCCTAGATATCCAGGATTTGGAGGCGATGTAGGAGATCCTGATGCCCCCAGAGTTCGAGCAGCAGCAACAGTACGGGGACAACTTTGCTGACATGAACCGTCACATGCACGACATTCGTCAGCAGTTGGACCAGATGTCCCTAAGGCAAGATGTCATCAAAACGCGGTTGGAGGCCTTCGGCCAGACACACGAAGGGATGAGATGGGACTTGGGCATGATCAAGTAGGATAAGCTCAACATGATCCGGAGCCAGGAGAAATTCCAAAGGCATATGTTCCGGCAGTTCCCCCCTCCTGGGTCATCTCTAGGCTCGCAGTCGAGTATGCCATCGTCTTAGGGATATCATTGTATTAACATGATCATTGTATAGATTTTGTCACATAAATAAATTCTTTTGATAAATTTGTTTCTTTATTCTTTTGCCAAAAAAGCCAACATATCAAAAGAAACTGAAAAGTAAAAAGGCTTACGCATAATTCGAAAAAAGCCAAAATCCAAATTGCGAGAAAAAAGATAAATTGCAGAAAAAAGCAGGATTAAATCCAAAACATCAGCCACCATCTTCCTAACAAAGAGGAAAGGCAAACCAGCAAAACGACCATGTTAACCAAAAAATCCCCGACAACCAGTAAAGTCGGATGACAAATACCAAAAGATCAAAACAAAGAATCTCTAGCAATCAACAAGTTGGACGACTATCGAAAAAGTCGAAAATCAAAGAATCCCCAGCACACCGAGAGACTCTACCAGGAAAATCAAAGACATTTACCAAGAATTATTCCCCATGGAATCCCGACGCATGAGCTAGAGCAGTAAGCCGCCACCACTACCAGTCCTACGAAGTGGGTTGCACCAGCCAGATGGAGGGTTTATACCAATCAACCTGAGCATGAGCTTGTGCATGAGTCAGAGCAGTAAGTCACAGTCGGTCCTACAAAGTGGACCATACCAGTCTGATGAGGGGTTTATACTCATTCAGTCCTACAATGGTGGACTGCAGACGCTACCAACCGGATGGGGATTCATACCCATCAACCGAAGAGTCGACTACCGCAAGAAGGAGCATCTTGAGGTTCTATCACTTGTCAGCTAAGGGGTCAGCTACCGCAAGAAGGAGCATCTCGAAGCTACAAGCAACCGGATAGGGGTTCATATTCATCAATCGAGGGGTCGACTATCGCAAGAAGGAGCATCTTGAGGTTCTACCACATGTTAACCAAAGGGGTCGGCTACCGCAAGAAGGAGCATCCCGAAGGCACACACACATTTTTTGTCTAGAGGGTCGGCTACCGCAAGATGGATCATCCGAAGGACAGCGAGCAAGAGAGTTAACTCCTTCACCCTCCAGCCGATCTTTTTGGCATAAGAGGCCAACAGTCGGCTAGTCAGGTGAAGGGGGGCAGATGTAGACCCCAAATCTTACCCGACCTCAAAATAAAGAGCAAAAGACTTTCAATTCGAAAATGGGCAAGGCCTAAAAGGTCCCTAGGATAGACTAATAGGCCCCATATTAGAGTAGGAAGGTTTTTTGTACAGAAAAAATAAGGAATTCCACCTGGAAGGACGAGACCGCTGTCCCGTTTGGCGAGACGGTCATCTCGCCATTTGTCAAGGGCGAGACTGTCGTCCCATTTGGCGAGACGGCGGTCTCGACCTTGTCAGGCGAGACGGCAGTCCCGACCTAACAGGCCTGAATCCCTATAAAAGGAAGGTGCGCCCCCCTCCTTTTCACAGCATTCTTCAACTTTCCCTTCTACAACTTTCTCAAATTCTTCTCCTAGGATCCCGCCGAAGCATTTCCGGAGTTTCTTAGTATTCTTAGAGAGTATTCTATAGTGTTACGAGGAAGAGCGACCAACATTGTAAAGCGGATGTTTGCCAAAAAGTATCATTTACCAAAAATATTGAGTAATGAAAGCTTGTTTCGAAGGTTCTCATACTTTCTCTCTTTCTTTTACCGCTTTTTCTTTACATCTATCCGTGCATTAGCTGTTAGGGCCATATAGTCAATATTTTAAATTCCGCAAATAAATAAAGGGAAAAAACGTAATTTTAGAGTTTTATTTATGAAATAAACGGTCCATTATAGGAAACCCGAAAGAGACGTCATAGGGAAGCTAATATCTTCCCTACACGTAACTAACTCTCTTACCCAACTCTGGTTATAATGGTCAAAGTTGGTTTTTCAAAACCAATGCTTTTTTTTTTCCTTTTCTAATGTTTCCGGATAAAACATTGGTAGCGACTCCAAAACCCTTTTCGAAAACCTCACCTTTAGATTCAGCCCGGTTATCGGACAACCTAAAGGCATTGTAACAACACTTTTAAAACGCGAGTCGAAGTCGGAAACCATCGCGTAGCTCCAATCGCCTCTTTTGACGGCGGCGACAGCGAATTTTTCAAAGAGCACAACGAATCACATTTCTAAAGTGAGAATCGGTAATGGAGAACAAATGGATGTGAAAGGTACAGGAACAATTGCAGTTAAAAGTCATTCGGGTATCAAATTAATTTTTGATGTTTTATATGTTTCTAATATTAATCATAATTTGTTAAGTATTGTTCAATTATTGGAGAAAAGTTATAAGGTGTCTTTTGAACACAAAATTTGTTTAATTAAAGATACAAATAACTTGAAAATATTCAAAGTTCACATGAAAGAAAAAAGTTTCACTTTAGATTTGATGAAAGAAGACATGATTACAAATGAAGATATAAAAGAAAAGTTAAAGAAAAAGCATGAAGAAGATTTCTTGAAGGAACTTGATGTTAAGGAGGAAAATAAAGATGTAGATGAAGAAACCGTTTTCAACGTCTATCAAAGAGTCAACAGTACTACCATTAAGTTTGAAAGAAACAAAGGAGATGAAATTGATAAAGAAAGAAATACTTTGATGAAGAAAATGAAGTTGAATGAAGATGTGATCTCATACAAGAAAGAAGATGACAAGAAGTGCAAACAAAAAAAGAGGAAAAAAGTATAAGAAAAATAAAAGAAAAAATATCAAATTCAAATAAATAGATATTAAAGTAAGGACGAATGTTGAAAATATTACTTTATTATCTTTTATTTAAATTAGGTATTAAGAGATTTTATTATCTTTTAAGAGAGAAGGTAAAAAGACATTAGGTTATTAATTTGATTTAGGTAGTTATGATTGAGATATTATGAATATTTAATATTTTGTAATATGTTTACTCTATATATACATAGAGTACATGAATAGAAATATAGTCACATGATGTATCAGAAATACACATGTACCAAACCCTAAAAATTCTCAACATCAATCACAATGGGTAGCAACAAACTGTTCTATCCATTCCACACGTTCAAGAAACAAAATCATAACCTTAGAAACATCAAACAAATGCATCGGTTTCAGACCAAACCCACACCACAAATCTAGCTACGACAAACACAAACAACACCCTCACAAAATATCGTCATATAAATAGTTTCCAAAACAGATGATATTGCCACCAACACCAACCATATGAGAGAAAGAGGACATTCACTAATTTTGGTTTCCCATGCTTCCGTTCCTCTTAACTCATTCAACCAATAATAATAAAGATAACAGAGAGGTGAAGAGTATCATATTCATTAAAGAGGGCAATCCCAATTAGGATTTTTGTGTATTCAGCCTTGTAATGCACTGCGAAGAGACCCCATTCAAAACTCTATGAACAAGTGGAAAGAACCAGAAAATTTTGATGTTTACCTTCAAAGTTCTCTCACTTTAGGAGAAAGCAAAGCATTTGCAGAGCTCTAAAACAAAAACAATGTGAAACAGATCAGAGTTATTCATCTTGGGTCCCCATTCAATTGGAATTTCGAAGGACCAAGATGCAAATACACTTCAGCAGAGCCTGAAGAATGTAATCTCTAACTTCAACGAACAAAGATGTAAATAGAGAATGTTTTAAAAGTTCTCAAAATGGATGTTCTTTCATTAATGTGGTGTTTAGAATAAGAAAATAAACTCACTTCCTTATTTACATGCTAGAATCTCATTCACCGGAAAATCTTTTGTCAGACCAAGGGAGAAAGAAAAAAAAGGACATGTTTTTAGACAGCATAAAGAGAAGTAGCATGTTTGTCACTAAGTAAGGAAGCTGTTAACTAATATTAGATGAAATGACCATAATCTTAAAATAACAATGGATGAATCAAAAACAATTCAAGGTAAAAAATTTAGTGGCATACGAGGCAGAGGAGAGAATGGAAAATTCACTTGAGTGATAATCATGCACATGCACACAAAGCATGAAGAAGTTTTCATGAAATTATACATGTATCAGCAAATTAGTAGATAAAGAAAAAAATGAAAAAAAGTAATGACCCATGTGCAATATGATTAGATTTTATTAATGAATATGATGTAGACCCGTTTAGAAAACCTAGTATGTGTTTGATTCAACAGAAGTAAACTCCTGGAGTATTTATTTTCTTTGTAATTTGTTGGATTATCAAAAACTTGACATGAATTAATCCAGTCTAATTGTATGAATGGTTGATGCTTGCATGGAAAATCTAACTTAGTAGAGACCTAAAGTTAAATTTTATAAGATTAAGGTATTCAGAATGTGAGAATCTCCAGGAGATTCAACAGCAAAATACCGCGTGCTCCATCATCCGCAGTTTAATTCTATTGCAGTCGATAAGAACCACAAATCAAACAGGAAAAGAAAATTCCTCAAATTAAATTGATGTCCAAACACAATCCATAACACCATAAGCAATAAACTAATCAAAATACTCAAATGGTAAATAAAAAATATAATAAAAATAAAAACGTAAAAAAAAAAAAACAATTGAAATCCAACAAAACAGAGAGCGAACCTTAATCCTCATCAAAATGCAAAGCGGTGAGGCGAGAGAAATCGGTGGTGAGGTTCCGCAACTACGGAGTGAACCGTGACTACACGGAGTGAACTGCGATTGTGCAAAATGAGAAGGCACCAATGGCGTCTACTGTGTGATGTGTGGAGCGCGAGAGGAAATTTATATATATTTTTATATTCCTAATTTCTTTATACATTTTCTTTTTCTTTTCATATTGTATAATTATCTGTTAATTTTAAAATAATATTTATAACTAAAGATAAAATAAATAAATCTATATATATATATATATATATATATATATAAATAAGTGGAAACATATAAACATTTATTTATTTATTTTAACCTTTTTAATATATACCACATCTTCTTGTTCCACTTTTATACGAGTTAGACATTTTTTTTATGTCTATTATATTTTTTATCTAATTTTTAATATAAAAATATCACAATTTATTTAATTTATTTTCAATAACTTAAGATAATATAATTATAATCGATGATAAAATAAATAATATATATATATATATTACTGAAAATAGACAAAACCGAAAAACGATTTTATTTAAAATTTTATTGAAAAAAATATTATGATCTCAAAAATAATATTGGTATGTATTTTTAAAGTAAATAAAAGTTAATTAACACACTTAGTTTTATTTATGTGTAACGTTGATTAACAACTTATTTTCCAACAAAAGTGTTACCACCTCATCATATATCAAATTGAAAGATTAAGACATAAGTTTTATTTTATTAATGAATGATTTTACATTGTGCGCCCGAAATTTCAATAGCTAAAATTATATTAAATTTTATATTTTTTTTACATAATATTAATGTATTCGTGATATTATTATATTATATAAAATATTATTTTGTTTTATATTATTATTTTATTACATATTTAATATATTACTAAATTCGTATATTTTTCTTTGAATTATATATATACGGTGATAAACAAATCTTATTTGAGTTTATTGTTAATTATTAAACAAAAATTATTATAATTTTTAACGACACGAAAAGATAGTAAACTCTAGAGTAATTATGAAGATAAAGTTTGGAATGGGAGTTTAAAAAAAATTATTGATTATTTAATCGATTTATATGTTTAAGTTTTAAATGAGAAATCAAAATTAAGATGAGTAATTTAGTTTTAAAAGAAAAAGTAAAACCATTTCTTCAAATTTGATAAAAAAATCCCTTTGGAAGAAAATAAGAAGTAAAATAAAATGAAACATCTCCCTTCAATCCATAAAGAAAGGTTCCAAAATCATTTTTTAATTTAATATAAAATTAGTGATAAGAATAATTGAAACACATATTAAGCTTAATTTCGTTATAAATGACCTTTTTTCAAAATAAAAATAGAAATTAAAATAAATATTAAAGTTTAAAACGAAAAAGCCAAATATATAAAATAAAATGAAGTAGTTGAATTTTTAAATAACTCATCGGAATCAATTTTAAATTAAATCATCCATGTACAAACTTCTCTTCTAAAGAAGAAAAACAAAATAAAATAAATTTATTCATAATTATATTAATTTATAGATAAAAAAAAATAAAAACAACAAACATAGAGAAAAGTTCCATAAAGACTTTCTCCATATTAACTTGTTTTTATGGAAACTGGAATATTTTTGACTGAGATATTAATAAAATGACACTTTTAATCGGTAAAACTGAATGAAAATTTACACGAGTTTTTATATATATATATATATATATATATATATATATATATATATATATATATATATATTATTCAATAGTCTTTATAAGAGATATGTCATGATATTATAATTTATTTTGGATATAATAAAAATTTACTTGTGATTATTAATTTATATGTTAAAGATGATAATGACTTATTTATAAGATATATAAATTATATTTTAAATATTATCTAATATAGAAAAGGTTAATAATATTTATAAGAGATGTTAAGCATATTTTAAATATATTGAATACGAAGATAAATTTATTTATTTATTTTTTAAATAAATTTTATATATTTTTCTTTCATGATATATATTTAATAAAAATTTGTTTAAACAAACTCGAGAGACTTATCTTTAATTTGGATCCATATTCCCTAAAATTTCACTTATGTTTTATTTATTTATTTTATTTTAAATATGATCCAAAATTAAAAATTCTTTCAATTTATATCATTATGCTTAACATAAAAGTTGATCACAACTTAAATTTCAAATGAAATAAAAATTTTAAATAATATGTAATCAGAGTCTCACATAATATAAGAAATTGAATAAAGATATTTAATCTGTCGAATAATATTTTAAAAATATAATTATGATAGATTAAAATTCAAAGCAAACAATAAATATAAAAATTATCTATTAATATTAATATTATCATAAAGAAATACAAATATTTTATCTTTCCATCATTCATTCATTCAAAATATATTATTATAGACACATAATAATTAATTTAAGTCTTAAAAAAATTAAAAAATGTCTTACTATAATCACTCAATGTAAAAATTGATATCATCAAAACCTATGAGGGTAAAAAAAAAAAAAAATTTAAGATGAAGCACTTACATAATAAACCCTAGAATGAATGAAGATGATAATCGAGTTTAGAGTTTGAATCTACATACTCCCGACAAGGTCTCGAACCACCTCAAAAAAGAAAATAACCAAACCTTTGACTGTGAGCCAACATCTGTATGCAAATCGAAGAGCCATGGTTGATCTCATCCTCATTCTCATCTTTTTTTCTATCAATGCCAAATTTGGTGGAAGACAAAAGGAGAAAGAAAAAGAAGATGAACAAATATTATTAGAAGAGAAAAATTAAAAACCTTATTTTTTTTTTCCATCTATGTATTATGCTTAAATACTATGATTTTGCTTTCTATTAATTATAGTTAGTGCTGTTACTTGTTACATTCAACACAGATAATTTCATAATCTTTGATTGAATGCAGAATCTTTATTCATTTATGAATATTTCTTGTAATACAGTGTATTTCGTTAATTAATTGTAGACAGAATATTTGGAATAAATTAATATCCTCTTCATATTTCACACAATAACATAATTTTTTTTAATATCTATTTTTTGTTATTCCTATATTAAAAACTTGAACTCTCGTTTTCATCATTGTATAAGAGATATTTTCGTTATAATATATCTTATAATAATAATAATAATAATAATAATAATAATAATAATAATAATAATATATAATGGAAACAGATTGTGTATAATTTTTACAGTATTAAAAAACCAAGTATATAATTAAAAAAATATTTTTTTCTATAAAGTAACTGTTTGTTAATAATCACAATTTTAAAACTAAAATAATAATATACATAAAAATAAGTTATTCCCTTAAAACTTAATTTGATTTATAATTTTTGTAGATTATCAAAATCTTAATCGATTGTCCTTTTAATTATATAATACTTGTTAGAGATATATAACAAGTTTATTCGATTAAACTCTATCTCTTAACAATTATATATTTAATTTATCATAAATAATAACTGAATTATATAATTAATGTGTTATAAACAATAATTGATTTATAAGAAAATATATACATTTTAATATTTTTTTATTGAAAAGTAATATATCTGATCTCTCTATCTTCTCTCTAAGCTATAAACTTCCATATAATTGAATATCTATTGTAATAATAAAATATTTTAATTAGTTAATAACGAAACAATTATTTTTATTCTCTATCAAAATCTAAACTCTCAATCTACATATATTTATTCAAGTTATATTTGATGATAAATATAAGTCGTTATTATCCTTTTTAATCATGTAAAAATATAATATTTTTTCAATTTCATTATATCTTATTTAAAGTAATAAAAAGTTACGGACAATTAAATTAAAAATAAAATATAAATATAAAATCAAAAATTACACTAAAAAAAATCAGATATAGATAATTAAAAATCAAAGAAATAAATTAAAACAAAAACAAATGATTAATGAAAAAAATCATTTTTCCATTAAATTCAAATATCTTATCCTCATCTTTAAAATGAATTTTTATATTTTTTAAAATTTTCATAATTAAAATAATCTTATACTATAATTTTCAACCCAATTCAATTGAACTTAATTAAGTTGGCTTTATTTTGTTTATCAAAAAGTAAACTAAAAAAATTGTATTTAAAATAATTATTTTTAATATATTAAAATATTTATATAGTAATGATAGTCTTTGTAATACTTTCACAAATAATCTTCATATAATAATAAAAATAATTTCTATACGTAAAGAAATTTGACATTAAAATAAGATAACAAAATTTATAACTCTCATACTTTTGTAAGATTAAATTAGATATTTCATTATTTTTAAGATAATATCAACATTAAATTAAAAAATATTGAAACATTAATTATTGATATGGGTGATTAAACCATCTGTTATAAATTAATATAATTCTTATTTTACTGAGTTGATTATATAAAATTGAAATAAATATCTAATTATTTATAAAAATAAAAAGTAAATTTATTAAAATTAATAAATTTTTTAATATAAAATTATTTAGTAATTAGTTAACTCACCTTTAGTGAGTTAAAATTTGTGCACTCGTTAATCAGTTCTAATTAGATTTCCTTAAGAAAAGCATGTTTTTATAAATTCGCACTCATTATCATATTCAAAATATTATTTAGATAAAAAATATATTTAAATAAATTAAGAAAATATATTATTTATAAATTATCTTTAATATCAATCTTAAAATCATATGAAAATTATTATCGTATTTGAGTATAGCTCTAAACCGTAAACTATAAGAATAATTCAATCGTACAATCAAGATTGATATTTAATCTAGACATTTTCCTGAGTTAAAAGAAAAATTCTTAATATCAATTCATAAATAAAACTTATGAATATAAAAAGTAGTACCAAAATGATATTGAAGTTGATTGTTGAACTATGACCTGAATCATGGCTCAAGCACCTTCTTTTCCAAATAAACTTTGGATACATTCTAGACAGTAAACTAACATATGAAGATCAAACTACTCTCCACTTAGCATCAAATCCAATTGTTAATGAGTAAATTAAATGCTGTTAGAGAAAAAGTACTATTAAACCAACGACACTAACCTTTTCACCTTTAGCAACCAATTAGGTGACATCTTCACTGAATCCCTAAAATATTATCGTGTAGACAACATTAATTATTAGACAAATCTCTCATATTTTCGTGTAGACATTCGTAACATACTTGATCTATATGATATCCATGTTTTCGCTGAAGGAAGAATGTCAAAGTGTTAAACTCTAAATAGGGAAATAGGCATAGCTGACAATTAGGGATTATATCCCCTATTACTCTGTTTTGTGTCATTATTATGTATTCTTTATCATTTGTGTGTTCGAATACAGATTCAACAAATCCTACATTAGAAACGACCAAAATAAAACTCTATAATAGAATAAGTTGTATACACACTAAAATAAATCATTTTTAAATATAACGACTAAAAGGAAAGCGTTATCCAAATATAGGATCCAAATAAGTAATTAAACCATAATTTTAAATGCATACATTTCATAATTAGGAATTAGTAGATTCTAGATATCAAGACTAACTATATAGATACACATAGTGAGACACTACATAGAGAAAGTTTCTTAACAGAAGCATATATATAAAATATGAAGCCAATTCCTTTTTAAAACTCATGTCATATAATTATCTGTTTCTTATATATTATTAAAAACTCTTTATTTAATTCCAACAGCCAAAAGATTACAGAACGTAAGGTTACAAGGCATTTTTTGGCTGCCTGGCTAAATTTGTAAGAAAACTAGCCACCATGACTGCACAAACTAGTGAGATCGTATCAAGGTTCCTGCTGCAAGGAACAGGCTAAATACAGCTGCACTTCCTAGAGTGGTCTGTCCAATATGCCTTATCTTGAGGAGTCCAGGAACCTGCAAGGTTTTAACATCAAATATGGGAAACTAAACAAAGGAAGCTACATCATTATTCAGCAGAGTAATCCCTAAGAAACTGAGACACACAAGCACTTGCACTCTCAAGATAACCAGACAAACAATTGAGTATAGACACACGCCATAGAAAATATTATCCTTTAAACAACTCATGGCTGGAGTATGCATAATGATTGACAGGTAGCCGAAGTTTGAATGTTGGATACAAATGTAAAAAAGACTAAGGACCCTAAAATAAATAATTCATAACATGCTATCTAATAGAATAATTGCATACTCAACTACCTACAACTTGGAAATGATGAGGATGTTATCCTTGTCTTTTCTTCCACATTGGAAATTAAGATGACACGGTGACTTGTTTAACTGAACACATCTTATAAGGTTTTTTGAGAATCAAAACCAAAAAATTTATCTCCAATTTTTCACATAAATATGTAAATCTTATTTAAACACCATATTGATCACCTATTCACAACCATATGTTTGAGTAACTCAAAATATTAGACACTGTAAGTATTAATCGGTGCTTCCTAGTATTAGAAATTAATAAGTGTCTAGCTCAATTCTACAAAACTGACTTATAAGAGGAGAGTTGCATCTCAATTATATATTAAAATTGGACCATATCTCTAGATTATATATTAAAATTGGACCATATCTCTAGTAGATGTGAGATTTCCAACACATACCTTTATATTGAGAAATGGACATCTCAAGAACGTGGAACTACATAGGCATGATAATAAGTGGAGTGATAGGTCAACAAATATCGCTAGAATAAGCTTTACTACCATAATAGATAGGTACCTAGCCCAATCTTACAAAATCAGTTTATAAGTAGAGGAATCCACCTCAATTATATATGATAATTTGACCATTATTCTAGTTGACATGAGATCAACAGTCACGCAGACAAAGAGAAATGACTATAACCTGGTATATAGTATTTTAATATACCAATCATCCAATACATTTTTCCTTCATGGTTGTGTGATAGTTCATTGCTTGACGTGTCTACCTTATTAGTGTCATAGTTCTTTCTTGCTTCATTGCAAAGAAGGTATGCCTCCAAATCTGAATAAGGTTTTCCTTGGACACTTAAGCAAATTATACAAGGATTGACAGAGTTTGATGAATAAATCTAAATTACTTAGGTAGTGTTTAGTCCAACTTCTTTAGGGATCTCTTTTTAAAAGTAGAAGTTTAGCCAAACAAATTTAAAAGGAGCCTTTAAAGAAGCAACTCTTTTAGTGAAGAAAACATCGTAAAATGGATCTTTTAAAAACAATCTAGTGTCAGGAGCTTTTGACTTCAGGGTCTCATTTTCCTATATTTCAAATCCTAAGATCGAAAATCACACTATCCAAGAAATTTTAAGTTAAAAGTAACTTATGCTCACTTAAATTAAGGAGGGGGAATATTCAGTAATATCTAGATTGTATCAAATAGCACTTCATATATCTTAGATGAACTTAGTATTAGTTTCTATTTCCTACATTTCATTATTTGTCTTTTCGTATGTGAATAGGAAGGATTATGATAAAGTATTAAGAGAAATAAGGCTGTTTTTAAGTTAGAATCGTATTGTATCATATCATATCAAATCAATATCAATTTTGGTGTACTTATTCTCTATTCTCCCCCGGTATCGAGATATGTGGTGCATCACTAGATTTCAAAAAACACTTTTCCATGTATAAAAAATCCAATGACCAGTGTAAACCGCACATCAGCCCGAAGATTACCTAATGAAACTAAATACGAAAATCGTAAAAGATCTATATTTAGAATCAAGATTGAATATTCACCTTCTCAAAACAACTTGTTAAGCCTTAACAATTTTCATATGATGTCAAGCCTTAATAGGGTTAGAAATTTTAGATATTATTAATCATAATATATGTATTTTCCATATCTACTATGAATTTTAATTATATATATATATATATATATATATATATATATATATATATATATATATATATATATATATATATATATATAGAGTATCCTATGTGTATTTTAGACACATGGAAAATTAACCCTATACCTAGTTTTTCAATATATTCAACATATATATTACCCTATTACCCTATGTCTATTTTCCAAATATTTTACCTTTGATTACAATGCCTGATAAGTATAGGGTTTTGTCTCATGGTGTGTTGGTACTGTTAAACTTTTTCCATCTTTACCCATTGATAATGTTTTTTATATTCCTGGGTCTTCCTTTAACTTATTATCCATTAGTCCTTTAACTCGTTATTTTGATTGTGTTATTTCTTTTACCAAAGATTATGTTTGTTCACAAGATCGGAATTCGAGACAGATGATTGACACTAGATGTGAGTCTCATAGTCTTTATCATCTTCGCCCTTCTACACATGTTGGCGCAGTTATGGAGTCTCCATCTCTTCAATGTTCAACTAGGTCACCCCAGTCTTGCCAAATTGCAACAATTTGTTCCTAGTTTGTCCAATTTATCTAGTTTGTTATTTGAGTCATGCCAATTAGGGAAACATAACCATAATTCATTTTCTCGTAGTGTCTCACAACGATCTTTGTCCCCTTTTGTATTAGTTTACTCTGATATTTGGGAACCTAGTCGTTTTAAGTTTAATTTAGGTTTTCAATACTGTGTTACCTTTATTGATGATTATTCCAAAAGTACTTGGTTGTTTTGAATGAAATATCATTCTGAGTTATTTTTTATATTCCAATCCTTTCTCGTTCTTTTAAACATTTTATGACTTCTCATGGCACTCTTCATCAAACTTCATGTACTTGTACACCCGAACAAAATGGGATGGCTAAGCGCAAGAATAAACATCTTGTTAAAAACAAATCACATTATTTTAATTCATGGTGAGGTTCCTAAACATTTGTAGGGTGATGTTGTACTTACCGCATGTTATCTTATTAATCGTATGTCATCTTTGGTTCTAAATAACAAAATTCTTCATTCTCTTTTATTTCCTCATGAACCTCTACATTCCTTACCTCTTAAAATTTTTGGGTCTACATGTTTTGTTCATAATTTTAATCCTGGTCTTGATAAGTTATCTCCTAAATCACACATATGTGTTTTTTTAGGATTTACTCAATCACAAAAAATATATAAGTGTTTCTCTTAATAGTTATTTTATTTTTACATATGTCACTTTTGATGAGTTTTTCTTTTATTTTAAATGTCATTCTTCTCCGTATGTGTCGTCGTCTGCTTTTGTCAATATCATTGTAACATATTCACATTTTCCCTATGGCAATGGGCCTCACAACATCTCTCAAGGATACCAAGAGTAATTTGAGCTCTACCCAAGACCCTTGCAATGTACTACTGGTCCTAAATATCTTATTGCAGTGCTCTTCTGAATGGATTGAGGGAAGAAATCAGGGCTACATTTAGAGGTGTATGGTAGATTCTTTGCCAAAGATATGCTTTGTGAAAAGATAATAAGAACGGGATGTTAAAAATAGGAAATTTTCAGGTAGCAAAGGACGAGTTGGATTTAGAAGTTACCAATCTAGGAAACCTGGAGAAATCAACATAAACAGAATAATGGTACTTTGGGAAGTCAAGGAGGAGTTGAAGAGAGATATGTTGATGCAAAAATACAAATGAACTCAACAAGAAAGGACTTTGCTGTAAAGGTTGGTAAAATATATAGCATGTGTTATGCCAAAAAATTACTGGAGGAAGATCTATAACGAGAATTGAGTTTTAGAGAACTTTAGAGAGAATTTTAGGCAATTTTCTGTATATTCAAAAATTGTGTTGATTTTGTGCTTACAACAGGTAAATTGAAGATATGACAAGAGTAATGAGGCTTGTTGTTCCCAAGTTAGGTATTTAGAATTCAGAATGCTTATGATGCTTGTGTTGTAGTCATTCTCAATTAGAAGTTGTTGTGGAGTTTTAGGATGAACAAAACAAGCCTGTGACCCTTGATAACAGGCCTTTGATAACAAACAATTTCTTGAAGTCAGAAAAGAAAATTATCTCTATTGAGTTTCTCTGAAAATGAATTTGAAAGAGTCGGTGACACCAAGTAGGTTAGAGACAAGGAAGGTGGTGGAATGAAAGAAGACATTGTGATTACCTATGATCTGGACACCATGTTGAGTTTAGAGAAAACAGAGAGATTTTTAGACAACTTTATGTTACTGAGACAATAAAAGATTGATACTGAGTTTGTGCTTAGTAGATATTTACAGTACAGGATATAGAAAGCCTTACTAGAGTCTAACAAGCAGTTACAACTATCATTGAGAATTTGAGACAGTTGTGACTGATTTACCTTCAGCTAACTAGATTATAGGCAATGAACAGCTGTCAAACTAAATCCAGTTAAACCAAGAAATGATAATCTCTCACATGCTAAATTTCATCTTGATGACAAATAGAAACTTTGGGATGGACAAATTTTTTCGAGACCAAGGTCAACAAAAAAGAGAAATGGAGACGGTTCACATGTGTAATTAAAAATAGAAAGATAAGGAGTTAATTAGATAGCTATTCATAGATTGAGAAAAAATGATGAAAAAGAGCCTAGGACATCTCCAGAACACCATTATCAGTTTAAGCATCTTGGATCCATTCTTCCGCATTTATAGTTTTGCACCTTCTTGAGACAAGTCATGAGACAGAGGGATTCAGTAAGTCTTCCATTTTGTCCACATTGTGATTCAGTTCTATCAGTCTTGGAGTTGGATAACTAGTACTATCAATGTACATGATTTGGTTTAGTTTGAGGGCTTTCCTTCACTTTGCTTCAACTATTTGGACTTTCTTTTTAATGTTAATTAGTTGTAGGTTATTTATTTATCCAAGGTCAGTTGTAGACTTTACAATCCCAACTTCTACTTCCTAGTTCCATTACGTACTCAGCTGTCAAAGAACCAAGATGTTAACATCACAAATGTTCAAGAAGAAGAAATAAAAGCCTAATTTTTCTTTCTTCCTCTTTCTCCCTTTTTATTATCCAAATCAGTTAAATTCCCCATTAGACCTGTTTGCATGATCATATTAACCATATTAACCAAATTGCACAGCTTTATATTACATTAATTATAAATTTAATTAGGTTAAGACAAGTTTAAATCAGAAGTACATCAATATGATTTCCTTCCTAAAAAAAAATCACCTATTCTTCATTAATTTAAATCTTATCCATCATCAACATTGTTTTTAGAGACTAAACAGCCCCCAATCAAATTATAAAAAATAAAATAAAAATATTTTCCAATTCACTCATTCAATAGGTAATTAAATAAATAGATGAATTGAATTACATACCTTATGCCTAATTGCATCATAAGTCCCATAAACAGCACCTGTATGCAACACACCCAATTTCAACATTGACAAGGTTAATCCAAGAACAAAACGAAAGATGTGTAGTGTTTGACTTAGTGAAAGAGCCAACCACAAAGAGAATAAGAGGTGAAATCTTACCCACTGCGCCGCCAATAGCACCACCCACGGCGGCACCTGTCGCCACCCGAGTGAGAACGTTGTCTTTAGCCATTCTCTTGTTCTTTAGTACAGTCTTCTGAAAAGTTTGGTTTTTTCTTTTTAATAATAATAATTTATTTTTATTAACTTTAATAATAATTTTCTATTTAGTTTAGTACACACAGGAAGGATCTGAAAGAATAATAGAGGGAAAAAATATGTTATTTAATTAAAAATATTACTTTATTTATTTAAAAAAATGATTTAATATTTTTAATTTAATTGTTTATTATTATAATTAAAAATAAAACACTAACTAATAAAACATAATCTATTATGAAAAGAAAGATAATTGATTATAAATATAATTAATTATAAAAATGAAATTATTTGTACAACGTTATTATTTATTATGTACTTAACCAATTTAATTTATATGGTCTTTTTTTTCAGTAAAGTATAAAGTTTAATCATAGTTTTGCTTATTTTTAATGTTTTTTTTAAGTTTAATCATATGTTTATCTTTTTTAAGTTTTTTTAAATAACCTGGTTATTTCTACTATCAGTTAATTTTAATTATATATATATATATATATATATATATATATATAAATAATGTTCATGATTCTATACTAGTTAAAATTATCAATAATTTTAATCCATAAATGATTATACAACCCTTTTAAACATAAAAAAAAATTGTTGTCTATTTATTTTTTTCTTATTTTTATATCTTTTAATAAATAAAAAATTAATCAATCTCATTTTATTTTTCAAAACATTTTTCACTCTTTTTCGTTAATATCATCTAAAATTGAATATTTCTCATAATATTTTTCACTCTCTTTCCAATATATCTTTTACAACTTACACTAAACAATATCTGTACACAACATAATCAATAAAATACTAAAATGATTCAAATTATTTTCTAATTTACATATTTTGGTAACTTAAGAAAATACAAATTCAGGTAACTTGTGTTTTGTAAACTTACTTAATTGTTTAAATTTTATTTTAAAACCTGTATTATGTAATATAATTTGTAATTTTTATTTTTTAAAATGAAAAGAGGAAATCAGGTTATATATATATATATATATATATATATATATATATATTGTTAATATAATTAAAAATTTGTGTTATATAATATACAAATTTTTTTAATTGCAAATTGTTAAAATAAGCACAATAATTTTTTTTCATAATGATGTAATAACTTGTGATTAAGAAAAAAAAGAAAAATTAAAATAAGACTAGATTTACTCATTTTTATCATTTATTTATACTATAAAGTACTATTGATTTTTTTTTGTTTACTTTTATCTCATTCCAAATTTTATTAAAGCGATTTATTTATATTTAAATTTCATATGGAATATTAAAATAAAAATATTTAATTTTTATTTAAATATAATATAATATATTATTGTTATGAATAATTACACAGTAAAGTTTAATATATATATATATATATATACATATATTTTTTTAATTAAAAAATAACAATTTATAATTAAAAAAATAATTATAGAATATTTTAAAATATTTAAATATATTTTTCTGTGTTAAAAAGATTGTTTATATTTATTTTCTTCCTCTAATATCTTTGTTATTTTATTTTAATTATAAAATTATTAATTTTTTATTTTTATCATATGTAATTGTTTGCCTTTAATCCTGTAAATATGTTTAAAAAAACTAACTTAAAAAAAATATTCTAAGACCTAAATAAACTTACATAAAAAAATCAAAATAAAAAATTACAAATGTAAAAATATATTTTTTTTATAAGAATTAGAAATAAAACACTATATTAAATGTATTTTTTAAATTTAAATTTACTTGCATAATAAATGAGAGGGGATGAGGTAGGTGAGAGAATACTTCAAGCTGAAGGTAGTTTATAACTAACCAACATTTAGCACCATGTAAAACAACGTCGTTTCATGGTTTTAATCAACACTATCTTCTATTATTATTCAAAAACCATGAATTTGAACCTGTTGGCTTCAGCCACAATTCCACTCATTCTTTCCTCCAATCTTTCTTCTTCTCTTCTCTTCATTTATCTATTTTTTTAATTTTAATTTTTAATTTAGGGTATTTCAGTGCAAATATTGAATCCTCTGCATCAAATGCCCTAGTTTTTACTCCACAATGTCCAACGATACCTCCTTGACGGACCACAAGCTCTGCGGTTTCCTCTGTGCGGTTCTCACAGTCACTCACAGCGACGACACCGACCCAGACTTCGCCCAGCCCTGTGAAGTCTTCAGCGACGGTGGCGAGGTCAGGTTCCGCACCCAAAGCGGCGTGATTTTGTCTCCGGTGCTGAATTCGTCGCAATGCAGCGGCGGAGGATCGAAAGCCAAGAGGACGCACAGCATTGGGATGGTGAACGGGAGCATGAGCGTGGTTCACCAGCTTCACGCTATGGTCACACGCAAGTGCATGAAAATCGACGCTCGCGTGGTGTGCGTCGAGGCGCCTAGGGTTGTGCTACTGGTTGACGTATACCTTCCTATTCTCGTATGGAGTGGCTGGCAGTTCCCGCGGTCGGGGGCGGTTGCCGGTGCCGTTTTTCGCCATTTGAGGTTTGCATCTTCTCACCTTCGAATTCCGTTGGATTGTGTTCCAGAAATTATTTCTTGTTAGGTGCAATTTAGTTTTAGAAAGATACAAGAACAATTTTGGTTGACTAAGCATAAGTACTGGTTTATATAATCATTTGAGGTTATAAATTGTTGTTGCGTGGCATTTGTTAGAGTACTTTGGGATTAAAGTGTGCAATCATGATGCAGCTTGGTTTTTATGGTTTGAGGAAATTTACTTACTAATAACATGACAGTTTTCTGTGCGTAGAGAAAGATATATTAATAATTTTGATGAATTAGGCATAAGTAGTAGTTTGTCATATTGTAGTTAGAATTAATTACTTATTTGGTCCCAAAACTTTCCCTTTTAGTCCCCGTACTTGAAAACGTTAGTTATAGTCCCTATACACGGCTAAAAAATGAAATGTGTAGGACTAGAAGAGATTATAAATGGTATGTGTAAAAAAACTTTCATAACCGCATTGAAGAGACTTGCATGTTTTCTTTAGCTTGGTCCATTTTATCGTAAATGAACCCCATGACCGGCTTAACATATGAATCCACCATTGACAATAGTGGATAAAAACTTATGGTGGTGAGCAAAAAGGAGCATATTAGGTGAGAAAGAGTTTATTTTTGAGAGAACAAAATTATAACCCTCAGGTTTTTTTCATTTGGATGGGAAAGTGTAAAGTGGAAAATGACCGATGTAGAAAAATGAGCGTAAAGAAAGTATTTTCTTTGTTTGGTAATAAAGAAAGTGGCATAGAAGAATGTCATTTCCCATTGGGTCTCATATTTTATATTCCACTTATATATGAGGAGAAAATAATGGAAAGTGTCAGTGAAACGGTTAGTTTCCAAAATCACCCTTCTCATCTCTCTTAAAAAAAAATGTATGGATAACTTTGCAATTGTGCAACTACTTAATTTATTTATTATTTTTTGAAATAACTTTTATTCCTTTTTGTATCACTTTCTCCTCAAGCAATCAAGTACATTTTCCATCCTATCTCTTTTCTTTTTCTTTCCTTGCAATCAAACATAGGGTTAGATTAAAATAAAGGGTCTAAATCCAATTAAAGATAAGATTGTTCTTGTTCTTATTTTTCCTCCTTTGTAGCAACCTCTTCTTCTGTCTTTGTACCGCCGCCAACCAATTGCTTTTTTCTGTGTAATATTGATCAAAAAGTGGTTCTAATCTTCCTCTGCAGACACAGCAAATCTTACCAGTTTGAAACTATAGCGAGAGTGAGCAAGAGGAAAAAAAAATAATGAAAAAAGAGACATTGAAACTGACAAAAATCACCAGATAACGGAATCACAAGTTGAATGACACATACTGCCTCTATCAAGACCCTGCAAAATCCTCCTCATAGCGATGAAGGATCTGCCTCTATCATCCATTCCTCTCACCTCCTCCTCATCTTATTCCCTTAGGGAAGCAAGATTACCACCATTGTGAGAATGCTCTGTTTTAATGGAAAACCCCTCTTTCCTCAAAGATTGCGTAATGGAGAATTCCGTATGAGGCAAAAATGTGAGGGATGAAGAAAATCAGAAAGTTTGTTTTATCATTGACTATTTTTTCTTTTAAAATATTAGGAACATGTGTATTATTCTATATATGTTGATGGTTTGAGGATGGGAACTTTCTTTTGGGGTTTGTCAAATGGGTAAGATTCTTGTATCTGGGATATTAGGTCCACTTCAGATCAATATTGCATAGTGAGCAAGAAACAATTGGTCTGCACAGAAAGGATTGAAGAGGTTGCTACAGAAAAGGAAAAATAAGAGGAAGGACAATCTTATTTTTAATTGGATGTGGGCCCTTTATTTTATCTAAGGGTTATATTTTATCCTCTCAAAATAAACGCGTTTCTCAACTTAAAACAGAAAAAAAGTAAAATAAAATAGCGTAAACAAATTCAAAACAGCATAATCAAAAGAAAATATTAAAAAATTCAAAATGAACAATTTTGTAAAACATTCATCAAATTCTCATAATCCATCATATAAAGTCATAAACATAACAACTCATAAATACACTAACAAAAGATGACAGGTAACTGACAGAGTTTGAGGATGCATGACTTTGATTTTGGTGCCTGACATATTGTCTTATAAGTGGAAAATAATTGGGAACAAGGTTTAATAAAGAAATCTGACAACTGCAGAACATATAACATGTTCTGAAATTTTGAAAAAACAGAGAGTTACAATTCTGAAATTTAAAAAGAAAACAGAACTTTAATTATGAAATTTAAAATAAAAGAACAAAATTATCGTGTAGATGAAGATTGAAGAACAACAATAACCACATACAGTATAAGGAGAAAAGAAAAGGAGAGCACAAGAGATGAGGAAGCAGAACATCTGAAAAATTAAAGAACAGATATAAGCAAACAAAGACAATGTTAAGGTTCCAACATAATACCAATTGACAATATGTGGAGTAGCCTAACATGTATTTATTAAATCATACCAAATGACATGAGGTAGGCGATGTGAGACTTTCAACACACCCCATCCAACGAAGCCTGCCGAACCAGACAAAGGGTACTTTTGACTCAACTAAAGGGCAACTTTTGGCCCATGACAATAACCGGAAAGATGTTAGGCTTTGACTCTGATACCATGTTAAGGTTCCAACATAAAACCAATTGGCAATATGCGGAATAGCCTAACATGTATTTAAACCATACCAAATGACATGAGGTAGGCAATGTAGGACTTTCAACAGACAAAGAAGAAGGAAGAAGATAAAAAAGAGAGAAAAATACTATTTTGGGTCATTGGAAAACGTCTCCAGAGCAGCTTGCTGCAGCTCAGGCCACTGTAGTTGTGGTCATGTAAGCAATTTTTAGTGTGACTGGCTTGTCCCACTTGAGTCTAATAGAACTTGTTACTGTTGTTACAACCTTTCTAAATACAACTATGAACTAACAGTAACTGACTAACTAACTAACATCCTTTTTTTATTTATATTTATTTACTTATCAATACCCCTCCCTGAAAAGGAGTACCTTGCCTCAAGGGTCTTGAATTTCAAACATAAGGAGCTGTTGTTGAAACTTGAATAGAGGAATTCATCTCCTCATCAGATAAACCACACCATTGCACCAAAATTTAAGTAATGATATGACCTTTCTTCCTTCCCATATGTTTTGTTAAGAATCTTTTTAGGAAACACAGTACTAGTATAGTAGTATGGCTGGGCAATCAGTGGAAGGATGCCTCTGCTTAACAGAGGGGTCTGGGCTTAACATGAGCAGAAAGACATGAAATGTCGAGTGGATATGTGAGTTTTTAGGAAGCTGTAACTTATAGATAACTAGACATACCTTTTCCAGTATCCTGTGGGGTCCATAGTTCCTAGGAGAAGGTTTTTGAGAACTGCTTGCTTATGTAGAATTTTTTCTTTAGGGTTGAAGCTTCAAAAACACCTGCTGGTCAATCTTAAATTCCCTATTACTTTTGTGAATCTGCCTTTTACTTCATCATGTTTGCAACACAATGTAAGTTATGTTTATGAACTCATATCATTGTTTCCCGTGCTGCAAATGTTTTGTCAAGTGGATCTACCTTTGAAAATTCCATGGGAGAGAGTGAATTTGCTCTGGTGGATTTTGCCCATACAAGAGATCATGAGGGGTTGTTTAGTGGTTGTATGGAATTTGGTATTATACCACCATTCAGCAAGAGACAGCCGCTTCATTCTTTTGATTCTCTCCAACAAATACATCTCAAGTAAAGTAAGTCTCAAGCACCTGTCAAGGACTTTATATGGCCCATATTTTTGTGGATGGTAAAAAGAAGAAAGTTTTAATTCAATCCTCAATGTAAGAAGAAGAATGTTTTAATTCAATCCTCAATGTAAGAAGAATGTTTTAATTCAATCCTCAATGTTCCATCCAAGAGTCATTATGGTGCATCATGTTTTCTTCCAAAATGCTTCTATGTTCCTCCAAAATCTGATTTTCCTTTCAACCTATTCCTTCAAATATTTTAACCTAACCTCAAGTAACTATTCTGGCTTAAATACTGGACCATGTCTATCAGCCAATTCAAACATCTAGAACTATTCACTCTTTGCTATGTTAAAAGGTCATTGTTGTAAAAATAAGGTAATTTCTTGACACACATCTTCCCTCAAGCTCTTCCTAAAAGGGCTGTTGATAGTAGAGTGAGAGCTGACGCCCCTTTCCTTGTAAAGATTTGCAGGAGTGTCAATCTCTTACTTTTTTCTTTTTCCAACCTGACCTAATTTAGCAATACTACAACCTCCTTCACATTCATTGAACTGCAACTTTTCAAACAGATTTTGCTGCAATTCAGAAACAATGTCCACATTAGTTTCTTAACATCTTCAGGAACAACTCTACAGGCTCCGATATCTTTCAAAGTTCCTGCCAGTGATCTTCGATCGATAGTTCCTCTGGTAAGCACCTTATCACACTATTTACACTTCATTTTACTTGCATTCAAATTGATTAAAACACAATGCTTCCATGCCACGTCAGTCTTTTAATCCATTACCAGTTCCAAGGGTTTTTGCTACCACCACTTGAACCAACTTCTGTTGTTTGGTGCCACTTCTAGAGTGTTTGAAGCGATTTCAGAATGATAGGGAACATTTGAAGCATCCCCTTTGCAAGCATCAAGATGCAGAGAGAGAACAACTGGAGAGCACCCTCAACATTCCCCAGTACCCAAGCACCACTTAGTTAAACAACTCAACAATACACATCAACAGTCCAATACCCAAGCAAAAACCCCACATCCATTTAGCTAAACAAGGTGCATAAAAATATAGACGTTTCACCCAATAAAACACGAGACTAACTCTGCTGTTGACAAGGCCGAGAGGTTGAGAGTCCAAAAGCACTTTGTTTCGACAGGGGGGCTATCTAGTTCAGTTTGCGAAAGGGAAACCCTAGAACATTTTTCACCCATCCGGATCAGTGAAAACCTGATCCAGAAAGCCCTGAATAAATTTGTTTTCAAATCTGGGTCAGTGAAAAAACTGCCTAAAGAAAGATCAGCATACAGGACATGTAAAAGACGGTCATCTATGCTATTCATGAGGAAAATCATGATTCCCTCCCCATGTGATCCCCAGTCAGAGATTACTCGCTGGCTGGTGTGAAAGTTGTAGAATAGTATGGCTTTGTGAGGTAACTTGTGATTTTTACAATACTGCTCAATCTTGAGACTTGCTTGTAAGTTATGTATGCTTTTACCCCACATCAGTTTTCATTGTCTTAGAATAAAACCTCACTAATTGAGCTAAAAGTTTGTATGTTGGGCTTGGGGTCAACTGCAGAGGGGTCACACTATTACTTTTTAATTTGGAGTATAAATAATTTTATGAAGGCTTAAAGGTTATATACTGACGAATTTACTAAGTTTGTGTACAGTGTACACTGATTTGCATCATGTAAATTTTCTCGATTGTATATCGTGTATGTTACATTGGTAATATATGTATTCTTTGCAAGTTCCATGTTGCAAATTTGATCATTCTATCAGACTTAATACCATCTCTATCAAACTCACCAGTTATATTCTCAGAATTATGTAATAATAATTTAAATTGACTAATATACTGCCTTCATTTTTCTGTGTAATACACTTTACATTTTATTTCTTTGACTTTCTTAGTTTGCTAACAGTTAAACATTTATGCAGCTGTGATTGGGATGAGCGAAGTTCTATGCTTTCTTATCCAGACTATTGTAGGAAGACTCATGGAGAAAATGGAAGCATTTGGAACCTTTCTGATTGTCATGTACTTTGTTGCAAACAACATTTCAATGTTAGCAATTCTTCAAGGAAAAGGCTATTTGAACTTCATGAAATTTTCAAGACACTACCTGGTGTAGGTAAACAACAGAGATTTAATATTTCGAAAATAATTCCTATGAGTAGCTCATGCAGATCAGGCATTTGGGAGATGTCCGATGATATTTTAACTAAAATTTTATATTCATTGGACCCACTGGACCTCACTAGGGTTTCTGCAACATGTCATCATCTAAGATCCTTGGCTGCTTCAGTAATGCCTTGTACAAAGTTAAATCTGTTTCCTCATCAGCGGGAAGCAGTTGAGTGGATGTTGCATCGGGAGCGAAATGCTGAGCTCTTGCCACACCCTTTATATGTAGCTCTCTCAACTGAAGATGGCTTTAGTTTCCATGTAAATACTGTATCTGGTGAAATTGTCACTGGGGAAGCTCCCACAGTAAGGGATTTTCGTGGAGGAATGTTTTGTGATGAGCCTGGCTTGGGTAAGACTGTAACAGCTCTCTCTCTTATTATGAAGACACGAGGTACATTGGCAGATCCCCCAGATGGGGCACAAGTTGTCTGGTGTCAACATAAAGGTAATCAGAAATGTGGTTATTATGAGATCAGTGGTAATAACATCACTGGTTGTTCTACTTTGGGTAAGAGGGATGTGTGCCAAGATATCAGTAGAACTATTGATAACCACAATTACTCCTCAAAAAGAGCCAGATTGTCAGATCCGGATCAGCAAATTACTAACCTTAATGGTTCATGTTCCAGGGAATTAAACAAATCACCTGCAGATGAATGCTTTCAGGAACCTATGGATTCAAATCAGTACACTAGGAGTTTGAGCCGCATAAAGAAAAATCTATACATCACATATGAAGAGGAAGCAATGATTTCCAAGGAAAGAGAAATTGGTGAAGGATTAATCAAAGCAAAGCATGCGTCAGATGTTACATCTCATGTATCCCAAAACAAGTTGTCTGGGAGGCCTGAAGGTGATCATTTTGGGAACAGTGATACATGGATTCAGTGCGATGCTTGTCACAAGTGGCGAAAGCTTGCAGATGATAGTATGGCTAGTTCTAGTGCAGCATGGTTTTGTAGTATGAATACTGATCCTCTTTATCAAAGTTGTAATGTCCCTGAACAACATTTTCATAACACTTCTGAGATAACACACTTGCCAGGGTTTCACTTAAAAGGAACTCACGGTGGTGAGAGACAAAATGTTTCTTTTTTCACCAGTGTGCTTAAGGAGCACTACTCATTGATAAATTCTCAGACAAAGAAAGCCCTGACTTGGTTGGCTAAAATTTCAACAGACAAACTTGCAGGAATGGAAACAAATGGAATAAGAGGTCCTATTTTAAACACTTGCATTGCATCTGGTAGACATTGTAATGCATTCCACAAAATATTTCAAGCATTTGGCCTCATAAAGAGAGTAGATAAAGGTGTGTGCAAGTGGTTCTATCCTCAACATCTTAACAATTTGACTTTTGACGTAGCTGCCCTTGGCATGGCACTCCGTGAGCCTATAGATTTTGTTAGGTTATACTTGTCAAGAGCTACCCTGGTAGTTGTTCCAGCAAACTTGGTTGATCATTGGAAAACACAAATAGAAAAGCACGTGAGGCCTGGTCAACTGCGGGTTTATGTTTGGACTGATCATCGGAAGCCATCTGTGCATTGTCTTGCGTGGGATTATGATGTTGTCATAACTACTTTTAGTCGATTGAGTGCAGAGTGGGGCCCACGTAAGAGGAGTGTTTTGATGCAAGTGCATTGGTTTAGGATAATTTTGGATGAGGGGCACACTCTTGGGTCTAGCCTGAACTTAACAAACAAGTTGCAAATGGCTATTTCAATGATAGCTTCAAATCGATGGATACTAACAGGAACTCCTACACCTAACACTCCTAACAGCCAACTTCCACATCTGCAACCATTGCTAAGGTTCCTTCATGAAGAATCTTATGGACTGAATCAAAAGTCATGGGAAGCTGGTGTGCTTAGACCATATGAAGCAGAAATGGAGGAAGGAAGGTCTCGTCTGTTACGTTTAATTCACAAATGCATGATTAGTGCTAGAAAGATAGATTTACAAAGCATTCCACCATGCATCAAAAAAGTTGTTTATCTAGATTTTAATGAGGAGCATGCCAGAAGTTACAATGAATTGGTAATCACTGTACGGCGAAATATATTGATGGCTGATTGGAATGATCCCTCACATGTTGAGAGTCTACTGAATCCAAAACAGTGGAAGTTTCGGAGGGCAACCATAAAAAATGTCAGGCTTTCATGCTGTGTTGCTGGACATATTAAAGTTACACATGCTGGAGAAGATATTCAAGAAACAATGGATATGTTAGTAGAAAGTGGTCTGGATCCTACTTCAGGAGAGTATACCTCCATAAGATATAATCTTTTGTATGGTGGTCACTGTGTCAGGTATTACCTAGGTTTTCTTTCTTGTAGCTTTTTTATTCTTCATCTGGTTGTTGCTGCTTATTAATCTGTTTCTTTCTAAATAAATTGTAAAGGTGCAAGGAAAGGTGCCGTCTTCCAGTCATTACACCATGCCGACATCTGTTGTGCCTTGATTGTGTTTCTGTAGACAATACAAAGTGTACTTATACTGGCTGCAGTAAATTGTATGAGATGCAAAGTAGGCTTCCCCGACCTGAAAATCCTAATCCAAAGTGGCCTGTACCCAAAGATCTTATTGAGCTACAACCTTCATATAAGCAGGCATGGTTTATGAAAAACTCAGTTGGCATTCTCATTAATATTTTTTGTTTAACAAAGCTAACATGGTATGTTGATTGTTGAACCCAGGATAATTGGGATCCTGATTGGCAATCCACATCTAGTAGTAAAGTATCCTACCTTGTTCAGAGGTTGAAAGCCTTGCAAGGAACAAATGAAGAGTCAAGCTTCGATCCAGATAATAGCAATGATGAGATGCATATAGAGAATAGTTTCTATCTGCATGAGGATAAATCAACATTTCAGAAGTGTTCTAAGAGCAACACGAAGACCAATTTGAACCTTGAGAAAGTTCTGATATTTTCTCAATTTCTTGAGCATATACATGTCATTGAACAGCAGGTGCATTTTTGTGTCACATTTTGTGTATGATCTTTTATGAAATGTTTCTATTTTAACTTTTGGCATCTGTGGATGCTTTTTCAATTTATCTAATTATTAAATGGGATTTATTTCTCTTTGGCAGTTGACTATTGCTGGTATCAAATATACGGGCATGTATAGCCCAATGCATTTCAGCAACAAGGTATAATGCTGGAATTCTCGATTACTGTTTCTGAAAATTTTAATTTACTTTTTGGTTGCTGACCTTTGGTTAACTTACCTTTTCCTTTTACAGAAGAAGTCTTTAGCCATGTTCCAGCATGATTCAAGTTGTATGGCACTTCTGATGGATGGAAGTGCTGCATTGGGTCTTGACTTGAGTTTTGTTACACATGTATTTCTAATGGAGCCAATTTGGGACAGAAGGTTAATACATCAGACTATTCTAATTGCAAACAAGGATATAAAATAATTTTGTTATTGGCTGAGGAATAAATTTTGAGAAATTTTAAATTTTTGCATTATTTAATTTTCCTCTGAAGTCATGAGCATGGTAAAATTTGTTGACTTTTTTGCCAAAAATGATTATCATTTAGAATTGTGGTTCAGGGTTTGTGGCTAATATGCATAATTTGTCAATACTGAATTGTTCAGTTTTGGGATCCAACATGCAGACTGTAACCATGGTGCATAAAGTGATTGGCAGTGAATCTTTTTGTTTACCAATTTGCTGAATCCTTCTACTTTGACTCAATTTGGCATGCTTATCCTGTTTAATTATCTTCTGACTTGATCAAAATCTTGTCAGTATGGAGGAGCAAGTAATTAGTCGTGCTCATCGAATGGGTGCTTCTCGTCCTATTTACGTGGAAACACTAGCAATGCGTGGTACAATTGAAGAGCAAATGTTAGACTTTTTACAGGTGAATCTCTATAAACTGAACTTGTCACACCATTTTATTCGATTGTAATACTTTAACATTAGGTGACAGGCCTTTTTGAATGCCTTGTTTGTAATGTTGCCCTTAATCTATGTTGCCAAAAATTGTCTCCTCAATTGTTTTTGTTTTGTTTAGATTTTATTATTATTATCTTTTATTTGAAAGGATTGCTTATCATTGTCTATCTTGTACATAGTGAGTACTCTTATTTATAATGAAAATACACAGTAATAAGGAGCAAAAATCAATAATTAATAATGAGATATATTTTTCAAGATACTTCTCTATATGATGTAATCAAATCATATCGTATTTTCTTATTTTATTTAATTAATATCTTTAACACTGTCTCTCAAGTTGAAACATATGTATCCATATGAGTCAAGCTTATTAAAATGTTACCAACACAAGACCCCTTTTAGAGACTTAGTGAACAGCCAATTGATTGATGAAACTGACTGTCAATAATGACAAAACTTCACACATCAATTTGGTGCAAGAGTGTGAAGATGATATGCTAAGGAGCTGGTGGCATATGTCTGCGGTTCGTGTAGTGGTAGTTAGAGAAGGGTAGTTTCGTCTACAGGATTGTGTTAGAGGTCAGAGGACATATAGTGCTGTAGTAGCTACAGCAGGGTAGCTTCAACTACAGGATCGTGTGAGAGGTCAGAGGACATAACGACTGGTGGAGAGTAAAATATGCTTAAGAGGCTGAGAGCAAAAATGCTTGGAGGGCAAAGAGCAAAAATGTTCAAAGGGGCGGTGGTTGCCAAAGAGAAAAAATGGAATGGGAGTGTGACTACTGCCGAAGAGTATAAGTTCTTTGAAGGCTCGATGATTGTCGGGGAGCAAAAGTGCCCACAGTATGCATCGATTGCCAGAGAGCAAAAATGGTTAGGGGGCAGGTTGGTTACTAGAGAGCCAAAATGGTGTAGGTAGAATAAAATTGGGAAAAATGACACCTCTGTGGAATAGATGAGTTTAGAAGGGTTTCATAAAATAATACTTATATTGTAAAAAATAGAATTATTATTTTATGTAAACATATAGATGTATCATAATTTATATATAAAATGATCATATCTAAATTTAAATTAATTTTATTAATATAATTCAAATTTTAAAAATACATATTTTATTAATAATTTTTTATTTATTTAAAACTGGTTGACCCATTTGACATCTCTAGTTGCAGCGGCATGTATTCTTTACCTAAGAGAGAAGTCAAAATCGCATAGTCGGGGCTAATACCTGTTGGGAAAAAGTCAAAATGACAAAGGTGGGCCAATACCTAACATTGAATTAGTGACAAAACAGATTATTGGAGGATAGTAGTCTTATTTATAATAAAGAAGAGATAAGTAAGAATAATAAGGAACAAAATCAATTACTAATAATGAAAAAATATTTTCTAAATATATTTTGCTATTTGATGTAATAAAATCATATCATCTATTCAATGTATTTAAGTCATATCTTTTAACAATTATTATTATTTTATATTTCAATTTGTTGATGTTTAACCAGGATGCTGATAAATGTAGAAGATCGCCGATTAAGGATGTTGCTGAATCTGAAGACGATAGTGGGGGACGAGGATATAGGTCCTTGCATGATTTTGCTGAAAGCAGTTATCTATTGAAACTTAGATCTGTGTATACTAATTCAGAAAGTCCAGAAGGTTTGTGCGTAGAATTTTTCCGTAGATATATTGTTAGGAAACATGGAAAATTGAAGTGATATTGCATTTGGAAAATTGAAATCAAATGATTTTTCTGACTTCTGTTCCTGACTGTTTGTTGAAATTTTAACCGGACACAAAATGTAAAAAAGTTATGATTATGTTAGGCAAAACTAAACTAATGAGATGCGTAAGGTTTATAAGCTACCAGCTAAAAGCATGTAAGATAGCTCCTTAAAGGTGCTTAGGAAAACTAATTATTGAAGTAGCTGGTAAATGTACAGTATCATAAACATATTACATTATGACTTTTTCATGTGAATTCTATTTTTATTTTATAGACAAAAACATCTTAGGTTAGCATCATTTTAGATTAAGTCAATGGCATCGTGTCATTCATTTAGCATATCTTAACTATCTACTAGAATAAAGTTTTTGTTGTTAGTTTTTAAGATAAAATATTTTCTTTAAAATTTATCTGATGGTGTAATAGTTAATATAAGTAGTATATTATATGAAAAAAATAACCCAAGAATTAGTAAAAAGAGAATATATAATAATTTAAATAATAACTAAAAACAATGAAGAACACAGGGAGGGTAAAAAGGTTAGGCTTTGTTTAGAAAGACTTCTAGGAAAGAAAAAAATAATAATTTGTTCATAAATTTAAATTAATTTATGTATGAATTGATTTGTTGGAGTTCTCTCATACAATTTGTTTTAACTTTTATTTTTAACTTGTGCATATACTAATTTTAATTTATGAAAAAGTCAATTTAATTTTTTCTTTATATTTTTCTATGATAAAAGTGCTTGTGGAGAAGTTTTTGAAATAGACACATAGTGAAGTTAAATGAAGTATTGTATGTCCGAGCACTATAGGTCCCTGTTGAAACTTATGGCGTGCTCTGACCTTTAAATAGGATACCCTCTCCTCTTTATACTTACCCTCACCAAATTGTATGGTTTTTGAAACTGGATTTTAGATAAGTACTTTGCATTTAAATGAAATCTTCGTTTGCTTTGTTCTATTAACTCTGTTAATTTTGCATACAAATTTATCTAGAATGTATTGAGTTATACTATCTTCCAATATGAATTGGCATATGATTTCGAATTGGTTGACAATGTAAAATTGCTTGTACTAACCATGTATCTAAATTAAGCTCTTATGATAGTCTTTTTTCTGTTTCTAGTGCAGGTGTTTTGATTGATCAACATCAAGCAAGTACTAACTAATTTACTTAGAGCAGGTTCTGTGGACATCCTGCAAGTTTGCTTGCCCTTGAATATTGTTTTACTTTTTGGATATATAGTCCTAGAAGTCCTCATCTAATGAGATATGGTTCCGTATGCATTCAAGCGTTGGAAACTATTCTTTTTGTAAAATATCATGGTTCCATATGTTTGCCAGTGATTAATGAAGTATTGGAGGGGTCCCTGCCTATTCTTTTGTAAAGGATTAAAAGTCCAGTTCATTTGATGTGATTCACCAGGCAATTTGATGTCAGGAATTTGAATTTAAATCGACCGTTTTGGGTTACTTGAATATAAAATGTTCGTCCCCCACCCTTGGCCTCAACAATGTGATATTATTTGTATGTTTTTATGGCTATATCCATTTCATTCTATGCAGCAGCTGATATTGTAATTATTAATGAATATAAAATTCAAGATACATTACCAATAGTGAGGGCAAAAGGGTTTCTGTTCATCTTATTTTCATGTTATCCTTAGTTTTTAATTGATTTGCTTTTGACATGTTCAATTATTCATCATATTTTGTGGGTAATTAGGATTGATAACCTTTGCAGTGTCTAGTTCAATTCGTCAGTATACAATACTATATATAGATGAAGAGATAATCATAGATGGAAGAATGAATAGAGGTATATATAAAAGAAGAAAGAATGGATGACAAACCAATCTTGTTAAAATTTAATTTAATTGTGGTTCGATATGAGTAGAAACTACCTTATATGAATTATATATAATTAATTACAAATCATATACATTTTTTTGTTCACATACCAATTTTTTAAAATTAAAGTATAATATTATTAAAACTATTAAAAATTTAAAATATTAAAACTCAATAAATTGTATATTAATTATTATTATTATTAGAACTATTAAAAATTAAAAATGTTAAAACCCAAAAAATTTAAAGTTAAAACTATTATGAACTATAACAAATATTTTAAATATTTATAATTAAAACTAAAAAATGATTAAATTAAAATAATTTTGCATTAATTAAACTATATATTTGATAATATAACAGATGACATGAATAATAATATAATTTTAAATTTTATGTTTATATTATAAAACTGTTGTACATTATTGTTTTTTTGGTCTCCGTAATATAATTCTCACGGTTAATCTGAATAATACTTACATGACCAACTATTAGTTTTATCAACACTTAAATTCAATGATGGATATTTCATACTAATTTTAAAAATTTAAACTAACAAATATCATTATATTTTATTTAACTTTTACCATCGTCATTACTTCCCTTGAAAATCACCACAATACTCATTTTAACTATCCGTAATTCTAAATAAAAATGAATACGTGGTTCTTTTACCCCAAAACTACATCAATCAATCAAAATATGTAGTCACGTTTGGATGAGAAGTTGATATAGAATAGAAACATCCAGGTGTTCAATGAAACCAATAAAAATATTATTTTCAACAATGAGATCGCTGTCCCTAAAGTTTTATAATTTTTATGTAATTTATAATTTTGATCCTCAAACTTAATGATCATTTAATATATTTACTTGTATATTTACAATTTTATCTTCTCATTACTTGTAATTTTCATATAATTTATGATTATCTCCTCTTAAACTTAATAATAATTTAATATATTTATTTATACATTTACAATTTTATCCTCTCATTCTTTCATTTTCTTTTACTCTTTTATATTTATTTATTATTTATTAATAATATATTATTTGGTCTTCCAAAATTAATGATCAAGATCCGCCACTATTTTTCACATATGACATTGGACGAGACTTACACACCAACTTTTACTTCAATAGAGAAGCATTTGCATACAAATTACAAAGGTGGAGAACAAGACATTTCTTATATATAAATTAGTTTATATTAATTATATTTTAATTTAATTTATACTTATTTATAATAATTTTATATTAAATTATTTTGATCATTTAATAATTTATTTTATTATTTAATTTTTTCAATACACTTAAATCAATATTTTCCCTCTTATCTTTCCATTTATTCAAATAATCATACTTTTTATTATTTTTTTCGTCTTTTCCATTCCATTAAATTTATTCCTCAATCATAAGATAAACTTAATTTCTAGAAAAATAAAATAAAGAGAACAGTAAAGAAAACAAATAGTAAAAAAGTTATTTAATTAAAAATAAATGAATTAAGAAATAAATTATTTTATTTACTTTTAATAATTTTATTTCCTATATTATTTGTTATTGTATTTATTTGTTTTTATAAATAAAAGTAAAAAAACAAGTGTCTACTCTATTTTTGGAATAATGATATTTTTCTTTTTATATAAAAATATGTCTATTGATTAATATTCTTACGATTTTTTTAAAGTATTTTATTTATTATACATATTTATGTTTTTCAGATATTATAATTTTAAAAAATAAAATTATATATATATATATATATATATATATATATATATATATATATATTACAACATAATATTTTATTGACAATTTTTTATTACAAAATGTTTAATATTTTTTAATCCTTTTATAAATTTAATAATTTTATAATAATAAAAATGACAATAACCATTACAAACTTAACTAGAAAATATTTCATTCAAATTCTTACAAGGTTAATAACCGCTCACAAGAGCATCTATAATAAATTTATCTCGATATTCTTACTAGAATGTACTTGTGAGTGTTATTAGAGTGTTTACATCTTCATCAATCTGTTTTTGCCGTATATCTATAATTCACAACTTTCATCCCCAATTTTTTTACATTGCATGCTTTTTTGTTGTATATCTACAGTGTACGTAGTGCAAATCAGTGTGAAGATGATTGCAGTTGGTTGTCTTATATTTTTAAACAAGTATAATATTTGTGTTAGATCAAACAAGCTAATTTAACATGATTAAGAATTTTAAAAAATATTAACGTATTTATATAAAAATAATTAATTAAAAAAATTATATAAAATAAAAAAAAACATTTTAAAAATTTAAATTATAATAATAAAATAGTTTTTTATTTCAAATATAATAATTTAATAGATAAACTAAAAATTACTCTTCTTTTACCATCATTTATTTTTTTTAAGTGATTTTTCGATATAAAATAATAATTTATTTTAATAATTAGATAGTGGAATAAATAGATGGTAGATATTTTTTTATATTTATAATTAAATTAAAACAAGTAAATTTTTGTCAAATTAATTTATAATATATATATATATATATATATATATATATATATATATTATAAAATGAATTGACAGGTAAGCCTACAAGCTAATTTGACCTAAGTTTATGTAACGTATGACTTAAATTGACCGAATCAAAATAGGTATGATTCAATTTAGATTACTAATTTTTTTTAATCTAATTTGTTTTATTTCTCGAACTCTTTGCTCAACCCATCAGATTAAATTAATTTTATATATTAAATTAAGAGGAGATTTGAGAATGAAAAAAAAAACTTTATAATTAATAAGATTGGTTCGATAAAATATATATATAAAAAAATTTAAGTAGTAATGATGCAAAATAAAGTAAGGTCCAAAATTTTAAAAAGATAAGATACAAAATTTTAAGTAATAAAATAAATAAACCCAAGGAAATTTGCATTGGACATTAAGATAGTTATCTATCTAGATGTGAATGCTCAATTCTAAGGATTGTGGAGCAAGGAGGAGATGAAATGAAATTAGAAAAGAATAAAGATAATAATTGAAAAAATGGACCAGTCCAGATAAATAAATGAAGTGAATAAATAAAGAAGAAAAGATGAAGAGAAGAGAAATATGGTGGTGGTGGAGTTTTGACACGCCACCAGGGGATGAGTCATCCTAGATAAGCGATGGTTGTCATCACTTAAACAAGATTTAAGATAAGACACTCAAAGAGATGAAATACTCTAAGAAACCTCACATACTTGTTATAAATGTATAATCTAATTACATGAGGAAAAACTTTCTACTTGTAAGCTTTTAGGAGATGAGCCTAAAATTACAAAATGGATATATAAACTTAACATAAACCTAAAGACTAAGAGTCCCTATGACCCAAATATGTTAAATTAGTCCTAGCCCACCAAAAATGCTTCTAAGGGTGTGGAGAACATGGAAAAGGAGGTGACATCCTTTATGGGTTGTCTAAAATCAATCATACCCGTAAGCCAAGCTTTTTTCTCTTCAAAAAAGGGTATAAGACATGAAAAATGAGTATCTTACACCTTTGGGCTGCCCACTCATATATCCAAGTCCTCTTTTCCAACAATAAAAAGTGATATTCTTAAAAAATGAGGTATAAAAAGTGAACCTACAAAAGAAAAACGAAAATAAATAAAAATATATAGAAAAAAATAAGTAAATTAAAAATGAAGGATAAGAAAAAAGTCTCCATTTTAATCATATTCCTAGTGATCCTTCTAATAATGATCTTTCCCATCTTTTGGACAACTAGGAAATCATCAAGTAATAAAATAAGTTATAAAAAATTATAATAACAAATTTAAGAGAGGTAAAAAATTAATGAAACCCATAAAATTTCTAAAAATTAAAAAGTTTAATGATAAAATATATAAGAAAAAAATACTTGAAAACAAGTTTTATTAAATAATGATAATTAGATAGAAAAAAATATATATATATATATATATATATATAAATTAAGTAATCTCCATCAATATTAATATGGAATAGTAAAATATATTAAATGTGGAGCAACCACTAAGTACCACTTGTTGGTGGAATATCACCTGTGAGTGACAGACAGGTGGAGTTTCGTGGGGTGATTTGAAGATTCCTTAGAAACAGGACACAATGGTTTTATTAATTAACACAGAAAGAAAGTGATTTAGAGACTTAGGTCACCGTTAGATTAGATTGTTACGTTTTTCTTTATTTTTTAATTTTCTATGACAATAATTACTTTGATACTTTCAACAAATTTTATTATGCTTCATCATCCCCCCATGGTTTTCACGTATTTCTCTGAAATTTCATAAGAACTTTGAACAAATAATTCACACACATGGATTCTTCAGGATTATTCTTTTTGCGCATATCATGCTACAACAAACAAATAGGTTTGAATAAAAAAAATGAAGTAAAATAAATGAACATGTAAAAGTTGCACACACTCGTGATATAAAGTGTCATTAACATCTTGATTGAGACACACACATGTTATGATTCAACCATTTGCAACCTAATACTTGTAATGTTAACGTTGCCATTAATATTCGTTTCAACTTTTAAGGCTTGTGGGGTTGCTGTGCATTTATTATAGAAGTTTCTCGCAAGACAAGGAGTGTCCCCTCTCATTGAATTTTTCATGCAAGTTTTAACTTTTCAACAGAAACATATGTCAATAGGATTTGAAAATTGTTATTAACGACTAACCAATACACTTCTAAGAACTATTATACAGATTTGAAATTTGAAAAACTGTTGTTAATAGCCATATGTGTCCAGGTTCTTGATTTGGTACAATGCCATATGGGACCGAAGGGGCTAAATAATTTTTGAATAATCCACACCAAACTTTGGCTAATATCATAGTGACAAAGCAAATAATTAATGACCTAGATTGAGACCTTGCACCTACACTTATCCTTCTTAGTATATATAAACAGATTAGCCAGTGTGTTATGCAGCACAAAACTCCTAACATGGCTTCCTTTTCATCCTTTCTACTGTTTCTTCTTGCTGCCCTTATCCTCATTCCTCAAGGCCTTGCCACTTATTACAAACCCCCCATTCATAAGCACCCAATTTACAAGCATCCAATTTTCAAGCCTCCAGTTTACAAGCATCCTATTTACAAGCCACCATACAAGAAACCACCTTATGGAAAGTACCCTCCTGTGGAGAACAACAACCATGCCTGAACCATGTAACAACAAGGTCTCTTGTTATCTGTTTATTTTACTAATTAAATAAGAGGGTCTCCTTTCTGTTTTCTTGCTCTTTGATGTTTAAAACTTATTCATTCCTAGCAATGAATTAGTTTTCTATGGAATCTTGCACTTTATTGCATTGTGTTATAATCTTGTGTCAGCATCATACGTAAGTCTCTTCTTGTGAATGAATGTAAATCAAAATGTAAGAAAGAGAATATATGGTGCTTAATTGTACTATAATATATGAGTAAAAGTGTTTTATAGTTGAGATTGTGGTTCTTATTAATTATTGATTTGCTATACCATTTGATGATTAAGCTTTATTTAAATTATATGTTAATTTTGATTGAGTCAGTTTAAATTGATATCAAGTTAATTTTAGAGTTATTTATAAATGAATTTAACCAACCATTATTAAGATATGTCGAGAAATCCTACATCGATTAGAAATATAATAATAATTTTTATAAGATTGTGTTGGGTATCTCATAATTTCTATGAAGGTATTAAAATTTACTTTAGAGTTATTGGGATATTAATAGTTAACCGTGATGAATTTAACAATTTATTAGTAGGATGTGTTGAAAAATCTTATATCAACTAAAGATATAATAATATCATAATCAATTTTGTAATATTGAATTAAATATCTCACCGTTTTTAAGATGGTATCATAGATAATTTTAAAGTTGTTAAGATATTAACGGTTAACTGTGTGAATTTAATAACCTGTTATCAGAATATTTTGAGAAATCTTATATTAACTAAAGATATAATAATATTATAAACAATTTTATAATATTAAATTAAGTATCTTACCATTTATATAAATATAAGTATTATTATGTAACAAAATTTTGTGAAATCAATTTTATATCGTGGATTTGTACATGCTGAATTAATTTGAGAATAAAATCAATGATAAGTTAAATTTCAAGTCAAGAAATATAAAATACAATAATAAAAGGTAATCATAAATTCATTTTAATTTAAAAAAAAAGTAATTTATTTTAACTTTTTTTTCCATAAACATTATGAAAATTTATCTGATAAAGACCATACTCAAAAGAGAAGGGAAGATAAATTTCTACTCGACATAAAGGAATATATATCACAAAGGTTTTGAACAATTATAATTATTAGTAGGCAGATAAATACGTAAATAATTGCTCCAATGGAATTCAGGTTTTCAAATAAATGGCGTAAATGGAAAATTATGAAATGCGTTCAACAAGATAGTAGAATAAATTGTTAATTGATTACAAGAGTGATGACTAGTTACTTACAATTAATATTTTTTTAAAATAATATAAAATAAAAATAATAAACAAATTATTTTGTGATCTTTAAACATGTGAGAGTTGCAAGTATTACAAGAAAAATTATAAATTAATGGATGTGAATATTCACTTTAATAATCTTTTAGTTCTACCTTTTTTTTTTAAATAGTTAAATATAGGTTTAAAACTTGTTAGATTTATATATAAAAAATAAACAAGTTATCTAAAAATAAACTCTAAAATATAAATTCACAATCCAATGTATAAATTGGAATTCATCAAGATGTCAACTTTTATTAACATATCATGTCATCTTTAATATTTTATTATAGTCGAGCTTAATGATAAAAATAAGAATTAAACATTTGAAAATGTTAATGAATAAAAATGATTATTTAATAATAATAAAAAAAGCATTAACTCAGTATACTATTATCATTATCACTAATTAATATCTTATGGACCACTTTGTCATTGTCTACACTTCAATGTCAATAAATTTTATCGATTAACTATGCTACTGATTAAAGAAAATATACATGAAGTTTATTCTTGTTTTGTATAATTTATGCAATGATGGTCGTAGCATAGCATGTATATATGTTACCCACTATATATAGGCACATATATGCAGTATATGAATTAATTCTTCTATTACTATTAAAATATGTACACAAATAAAAATGCATATATAATAATGATTATAAATGGTGATTGCATAACTGCACAAAAAAATAAATAATTAACTATGCCACTGATTAAATAAGTTTATTACAATTTATTAAAGCACTCTTGAACTTCTTACTATTATTAGCTTTAATTATAGGTGTAATTTGTTAAAAAGTTTTATGGATAGTTGTAATTTTGATTGTATTTAAAGGGTGGCAAGATGAATAGAATAAAATATGTCTGCATTTTCAGTCCAAAAATTAGTGTGTAATCCAACACACTCAGAAGATGATGGGTTTCTATCCCACTTAGATGATAACTGAAAGAAACATGGAAATGTTCTGAAACAGAAGAGCCAGGAGAAGACAGCTTCTAGATATTTTACCAAAACTTGGATTCTCTCTTATGGCAAACATTGTGAAATAGGATTGGCAAACTAAGACAAGGAGAACGAAACAAACGACTCCCAGTTCTTGAAGCAACAAAACCATCAACGCCAAGTCAGAAAATAAAGATACATAATTTAAACAAAGGGCTGCATAAAGTGTGGAAAATTTTGAATATCATTACAGATTCAGAACTTAGAAAGAAAAATTTAGACACATGAAGAGAAAATTACCTCCACAAGCAATATGAATCATCGAGCCATTGCTAGAAAATGGTGTTTGACACAAACAAGTGGCTGCTGCCTTCTTCCCGTTCATCACAAAATAAGTCATGCAGAATAAGAAAGTGAATCTAGAGGGAAGAGAAGAATGGACATTAATGAGGCTGTCTAAGTACAAAATAAGTCAAATGATAAGGGTGGACTTTTAAGCTTTCTGGGAATCTGAACGAATAGATTAGGGAGGTCAGAGGACATGCAATTGAGAATAAACAAGGAAATCGGATAAATGGAGTAGCACCAAGTCCTTGACTCAATTAATATATCTGAGAGCAGTTGGTGTAAAGGGAGAGACTACAACTTTTGGGATATGAGCGATTTTTGACCATTCTTCACCATTTCCTCTTGCACACCTTCTTTCTAGCAGTGAGCAGTTATATATGGAGAGTCGTTGTAAAGACACAAGGTTCCGAATGCCATCAGGCAGTGATTTCAAACCATTGCAATTACTGATTTCAAGACTCACGAGTGATGAGAGATTCTCGATCCAGTCTGGTAAACTTTTGCCACAATATCCATCTATTACTAGTTTTTTTATTGAGTGATGTGGCTGCAGGCCTTGCAATATCTTCTCATCTTTCTTCATTTTACTTATAAAAGCCAACACGTTCTCATCTTTCAACCAGTTCTTTTCTTTTTTTAGTCTTTTAGTTGAGTGCCATGGGCCTGGCAGGCCTTGTAATAATAACTCCTCATTTTCCAACTTTCTGCTTTCTTCTTCGTTCATACGTCTTGTTGTAATAGGATCCTCCCAAAGCGAAACCTTCTCATTAATCCACCACCGTAATTCCAATTCTTGAAGATGATGTTTTTTGAGAAGTGTCTTTGCAGACTCAACCACTGCAGCATGCTCTCGCAGGGAATCCAACCATTTAATCACTAATTTCCCTCTAAGGCTGTTTAGCCCACTCAGTTCACTTATATCACCATTTTTACTTCCACAGTCCAATAAAAAATGTGTGAGTGTTTGAAGATTGGTCAATTGTCCCAACCCACATGGCATACATGCCAATGCCTCACAATCATTCAATTCAAGATGCCTAAGATTTTTGTTGAGATCTGTGGGTAATTCTCTAAGTTTGCCACATTGAGAAAGTTTTATAGTCTGCAAGTTATGTAGGCTTGTAACATCTGGTGGAAGATTTACCAGAAACTTATTCATTGTAAGATCAAGATATCTCAAGTGCTTCAACTCTCGAATACTATTTGGAAGTGTTGTAATATCCAACCCAGACAGTCTTAACACCCGTACGCACTTTATGCTTAAGAGAAAAGGAAAATGAAGACGTAGCTTACCCATACTTTGGCTTCCATAAAGTGGCTCTCCAAGCAAAATAACCGTCCTTAACTTGTTGGAAGATGATGATGTTTTCTCTGCAAAATGTAATGAAGTACAAGAGCACAAATAACGTGTTCTGTTTTCAATGTTCTCTTTTTTTCCTTCAACAAAGGCATATTCTTTCCCAACCACTAGCTGTGCTAAATCATGTATCAGGTCATGCATTTTACATGTAATAATGCCACCACAATCATCTAAGGTCACATCTTGGAAAAGTGACATTGACAGCAAATTCATGAAGTAATCATGACCAACATCTTCTTCACATCTATTGTCATGTGACGGTTGAATGAACCCCTCAGCCACCCATAACTGAATGAGTGTTTTCTTGTCAAACTCGAAACCTTTTGGAAACAACGAACAATAAGCAAAACAATTTTTCAAAAATGAAGGAAGATGATCATAACTGAGTTTAAGGATTGCAAAGATTTTGTCCTTGTGTTGATCTATCTTTGAAAACTCAACTTCACTAAAATATACCCAATCACTCCGGCCCAAGTTTCGAGAGTACAAGAGGCTGCCAATAGTTCTTATGGCAAGGGGAACCCCAGCACATTTTTTAACAATATCCCTTCCTGTGGCTGACAACTCCTGATCATTTGGTTCTTTCCCCCCATCAAAAGCCACTCGAGAGAATAGCTTCCAAGATCTTTCTAAATCAAGACCTTTTAAGAAAAGGGGTGGATGTGTGGCCATTATTTTTGCCACGGTCCTACTACGTGTTGTTACAATTACGGCACTCCCTTTACCTCCTTCCATAACTAAGCTCTTCAATTTAAGCCACAGCTCCCTATCCTCATTCCACACGTCATCCAGCACAAGTAGAAACTTTTGCCCTCGAATTTTGTTTCTGAGATCTTGCTGTACTTGCTCAATCTCATTGTTCTTATCATTCCCAATTATCTTTTCAGCTATTTTCCTTATGTCAAATTCATCTGAGACACACACCCACATCTTTTGCTCAAAATAGCGTTGTACAGCATTATCATTATAAACAAGTTGAGCAAGGGTAGTCTTACCTAGCCCCCCAAAACCAACTATGGGAACTACAGACACATTGTCTATCACACTCACTTTGGTGTGTAGCAAATAGCTTTTAAGAAGCTTTTTTTCCTCCTCTCTCCCAATGACATCATCTTCACTCACAAAAGAGTAAGTTTTTCTCTGCTCCCTGTATGCTATTGGAGTCTCCGTATGACGGTCAGTCAATTGCAATGTAATCTTGTTTTTAGCAATAGCATCTAGCCTCTTCTGGATTGCTTTCATTTCATGACCCAATTTTAAACCATAGACAATTTGGTTTGCTCGGGAGAAGAAAATCCGTACCTCTTTCAAGATTCTGCTACCACCTATCACTTTTGTCTTCAAAGCTTCAGTAGAGATATCATCGAGCAAGTCATCTGCATCATATAGTACATCTTTCAGCTCCTCCAACCAATTACTGATCTGAAGGTTGTTGGTCTTTGCCTCTGCATCCAGGAGAACAGCTTTTATTGCAGATACTGTCCTCTTCATTTGTTGTACATCATCTTTGAGATTCCAAACGATTCCAAACTCCTCTTTAGCAAAAGAGTTCAAGTTCTGTAAGACTATCCCAGCAATTACTTCCATCCTTTGCCAAATGAAGTTTGGTACAAGCATTAGGAACAACAATAATAGGAATCAAACAATTTCACATTACAAATGAAGTTTTGTACAAGCATCAGTAACATCAATATTAGGGATAAAATAATTTCAAAAAACAATAACAACAACAAATCAATCCTTTGTACAATAAAGTGACGTCGGCTACATGGTAACAGACACCATAATGTTTTGTTATGAATCATATTTATTCATTGAAAGCAAGGTATCCTGGGGTAGAAATCGCCAAAGTGGTGTTACCTCTCCAGAAAATCTTCTCCACGCACACAATCAGGGAATCAAACCCTTTAGTTTGCTTAAAGAACTATGTCACCTAGAAGTTGTGTTGATATGTTATGAATCATATTTGTGGACAAATCATTGACCTTAGAAGTCAAACAATTTTTGTTGCCTTCAAGATGAAAGCAGCAGACAAAATTCCAATCATGATCTATGATAAAAACGAATGAGTACTGCTAATATTTTCATACCATGTTTATTAGCTGAACAGGACATGATTATAGAAACCAAAAATAGAATAAATAAAGTAAAATTGATAGGTTGGAATTGAGAGAGCAAATTTTAGAATCATGATATTAGTTCCATTTTTTACAATGAAAAATTCAGTGGTGCTACCTACAATAGAACACTTTCGTGATTCAATCAATAACTATGAAAGTTAGAATTAGAGAGAGAGGGAGAGAGATGACCTGCTTTGAAAAGAAGACGTGTAAATGCAGTGACAACAGTTATGCGCATTTGTTGAAGTTGAAGATGGAGTCAGAGGAGCCACCTACAAAAGTCAAATAAAACCATGGACACAAATTGTAAGAGGAATTTTTCTCCCATGTGACAAATCTATTTGAAATAAATTACTATTTAATACTAATGACTTTTCTTTTTCAATCTTCATATAAGAATAATTATAAATTTATATTCTAATTAAGTATGGGTTTTCAAAATAGAATTATTTAAAACAAACCGAAAATCAATTCAAACAATTAAAATAGATAAAACCGATTTTTTTGTATATATTTTTTTCTCAATCAAGTGCTTTGATTTGAATTTCGATTTAAAATAAGAATGCAACCAAATTAAATTACATTAACTGTAATATTTAAATACAGTATTATATGTTTTAAGTTAATTAACATCTAACAAACATTTACTAGGGAAACTTTCAAAGATTGTTTTACAATTTGATTTTATTATTACTCACAACATATTTATATTCATCAAAACATAACAGTAAAATTGTATGACAATTTTTAATTTTAAAATTATATGACATATTCATGTATACGATAGAAATTAAAATTATAAATATGACGATGAAAAAAATGATAATTAATCTCTTGATTTGTAATTTTATGTTTAAGTTTTATGAAGTAAACTTTAAGCGTCCTAATTGTAATGAACTAGAAATCGCTACTATAATGATAACTTCCCAAAATAGTAAATAAGTAAATAACAATATCTATATTACATTATATTACTGTAATTATAATATAGACTGAAATCTCGGTTCACTGGCAGAACCTTAGAACCTAGTAACATAATTTATTTATACAGATACATGCAAAAGTAGCTCCCACACTGAACTATCCATGTTGTCCAGTAGTCGCATCTCCACCTCTCAACTTTTGATCTGCTCTCACATAAAAGTGATCATCGCAGTCCCATCCACATGGAAAAATAGGGGTAAGTATTAAATCATTCGATATAATAAAACAGATATAGAAGTAATAATTATATATTATCATCAATTACAAATCATCAATACACTAGATACGTCTTCCAGAAGTCTACCCTAACTATGCCCGAACTCAGAGGCTATCATCTGTTGGCACATTGTGATCGACACCCACAGTACCATTCTGACCACCCTCCACACAGAGTAGGATTACTAGCGTCCTTCATCACTCATATTGGAGTACCCTTCCGAGCGCACCACCAGTCATCCCCCATTGACTTCTCACCACCTGATCTCGTAGTCGACCTGACCCGACCAATCAGTGAAGTCTAGGACCTCATCCAGAATCTTTCGACATAGTTATTACACTAATGTACTCTATACCACCCCGGGTACCATTCAAACACAACATAAATCATTCACATCTGCCAGATTCTGGACCACCTGTCCTCACGGCTCATTCAGGTCAATAAATAATAATATTTGACTGATTCTGAGCACCAACCCTCTGGCTCAGTCTAGTCAATACATAATATCTCATGACTAATTATGGGCATTAGCCCTTAGACTCGATCCGATCCACACACATCACAACACACTACTTGAATCTTTAAAACTGCTACCTTCATTCTACATTTTATATATATATATATATATATATATATATATATATATATATATATATATATATATATTCTTCTTCTTCTTTTCCGAAATTATTTCTAAAATCTTTTCCGAAATCTTTTCCAAAATCATTTCCAAAATCTTTTCTAAAGTCATTAAATTACTATTTTGCCTTTAATCTTTTTTGAAAATTCCATGTATGTCCCTAAATGACTATTTTACCCTTGACATTTTCAAAAATTCCTTTCATGTCCCGCAAATGACTATTTACCCTTGAACATTTTCAAAAATTTCTTCCATGTCCCAAAAATGAGCCGTGAGGACAGGTGGTCCAGATTTTAACAAATTTTGCAGATTTTAGCATATTTCAAATTACTCAGTTTTAGATAACCAAATTAGTCCCAAGTTCAAATTAAAAATGACTTATATCTAATTTAAGTTGAAAACAACAATTTTACCATATAATTCATCCTTAATTTTAAGAATTCCAACAAAATTTCAAGTTTTGCAAAACATGAGAAATCTTCAAAATCAATCATTCTAATGTTCAGATTTTCACTCCTATTCCTTATCCACAGAGTACTCAACAATTCAGTATCATATATTGAATCAATTAAACTTTTCCTTACCTGGTGTGGTATTTCTACCGAAGTTTTTCCACTTAATTCAAGCTTTCTCCCGTTTCACCAGATCCTGCACGAGTAGAGTCTCGTTGCTTGAAATTTAGACAAAAGAAGAAGAAGGATGAGAGGGAGAACTACTTGCTGAAATTTTCTCGTCTCCTCCCCTTTACGTACGCGCATATATAAAATAAAAATTTTACTATGCATGAGGAAAACTTCGTTACGAAGTTTTCTTGCACGATAATATTATTATAATATATTTAAAAAAAAAAACATACGTCACAATCTCCCTCCACAAAAATTTTCGTCCTCGAAAATGAACTTACTTAGGAATAGATATGGATAGGACTCTCGCATATGATCCTCCATCTCCCAAGTAAAGTCTCCAGATTTCTGATCTCATACTACCTTCACCATTGAGATTGTTTTATCTCTAAGTTGCTTCAGCTGAGAATCCTCTATTCTCACTAGTCTCACATCAACGGAGAGATCGTCTCTAATCTGCACATCGTCTGACTCCAGGACATGACTGGAGTCATGCACATATTTCCTCAACTGAGATACATGAAATACATTGTGCATATTTGCCAAATGAGGTGGCAACGCTAATTGATATGTCACTGGACCTACCTTCTTCAAAATCTGATATGAATCAATAAGCTTGGGAGTCAACTTCTTAGACTTAATTGCCCTTCCTACTCCAGTAGTAGGTCTGATTCTCAAAAATACATGGTCTCCCCCCTCAAATTCAAAGGTCTCCTCCTCTGGTCTGCATATGATTTTTGTTTACACATAGTAGCTCTCAGTTTCTCCTATATCTCCCGGACCTTCTCTGTAGTCTGATGGACTAACTCAGGTCCGATCAACACTTTCTCCTCATATTGATACCAACATAAAGGTGTTTGACACCTCCTCCCATAAAGAGCCTCATATGGTGTCATTCTGATACTAGCATGAAAGTTGTTATTATATGTGAACTTTATTAACGGAAGGATATCATCCCAACTTCCTAGATTATCCAACACACAAGACCTCAACAAGTCTTCTAGTGACTGGATAGTCCACTCTAATTGTCCATCTGTCTGGGGATGATAGGTTGAACTTAACCTAAGTCGGGTACCTAATGCCTCTTGTAAAGTCTGCCAGAATCGTGAAGTAAATCTAGGATCCCTATCTGAGATAATGCTAGATGGCATTCCATGTAATCGGACAATCTCGTGAATATATAATTGTGTCAACTTAGCCATAGATATCCTCAGATTTACAAGGAGCAAATGTGCACTCTTCGTCAATCTATCCACTATCACCTAGATCGAATCGTGCCCCCGAACTGTCCGTGGTAAATGGGTAACAAAATCCATGGTAATGTTTTCCCACTTCCACTCAGGTATCTGCATTTGTTGTAGCATTCCTCTCGGCTTCTAGTGTTCCACCTTTGGTTTCTGACAAGTCAAACAAGCAGCCACATACTCTGCAATATCTCTCCTCATACCAGACCACCAATAAACTTTCTTCAGATCCTGATACATCTTAGTCATATCAGGGTGTAAACTCAGACGACTCCGATGACTTTCATCTATTATTGCTCTCTTCAATTCCTGGTCAACAGGAATACAAATCCTTCCTCTGAATCTTAGAATACTATCCTCACTCATCTTGTAGCCAATGGTATGCTCGGATCCTAACTGATCCATAACACCTTTCAACGTCATATCACCCTGTTGTCTATCTCTGATCATCTCGAGCAAATCATTAGTAATGGTAATGTTTCCACAACTAATGCTAGTATCACGAAACTCTACATCTAGATGCAGATCCCTAAACTGCTCGAGTAATCTTAATTCATCCATCATCATTGCTGACATCTTAACTGCCTTCTTACTCATTGCGCTAGCCACCACATTCGCCTTCCCTAGATGATAAAGTAACTAAAAATCACAATCCTTCAAAAACTCCATCCATTTTCTCTGTCACAACCTAACCCCTGAATAGAAGCATCACAATATACCTGAAAAGATTTAGTCACATCTAGGATCACCAACACTAGGGAACTAGACAACCATCTTTTCAGCTCCTAG